AAGGGCAGCTGATGATTTTAAACTCGGTGATTTAAATGATAAAAAAATAGATTATAATGTTGCAGGTGACGGAATGTCTACATCAAATAATATTGCATCTTCAATGACGAATCCTTTAGGGTATAATACAGTAACTACCGCTACTGTTGATAGGGATAGTGAATTTAATAAAGGAATCCCGTCCAGGACACAACAAACCAACTTAAACAAGCTTAATTCACTTGGAAATTTAGGGTCTGAAACTGGAGCTCTACAGAATCCAAACTCGATTGTACAAACCAAAACAACAATAATAAAAAATGGAAGGGCAGCTGATGATTTTAAACTCAGTGATTCAAATGATAAAAAAATAGATTATAATGTTGCAGCTGACGGAATGTCTACATCAAATAATATCGGAAATTTAAATTATGATATCAAATCTTCAAATAATTATGACAATGATAACGGCAGTGGTTATAGTTATAGTTATAGTTTTGGTAATGGTATGAATGTTGGTGACTATGATAATATTGGTGATATAATTTCTTCCAGCCATTTAATGGATGGATCTTCATCTGGGGGTTATTCTACATATATGTTATTACATAGTGGGTATAGTAAAGGAAATGGTAAACCAAAAAAAATAAAGAAAAATGGTAGTACGGAACAATTTAAAGGCAGAAGATCAAAAAATATATCATATGGAAAAAATAAAGGAAATAGGCAAATAAGAGTTAAAAATGGTCGTAATTATAAAAATACTAGATCATCAAAAAATAGAAGTGGAGGCGATTCTCAATTTAATTCATCAAATAGTTTCACAAGAGGAGGAAAAAACAGGTCTTCTTCGTCTTCATCTAGTTTTTCAGATGACTCATCTATGAAGAATAAAGAGTCCTGTCATTGTAATAAGGGACGAAAATTGAATAAAAGAGATAGTAGTGAAAGTCATGAAAGTAGTCATTCAAAAGAACATCGTGGACCAGAGATTAATTATCTAGGTAGTTCTATGGATAATCATCTAATGCAAAATAACGGCGACTTTGTTGCCAGATTTCCACCACCACTACCTCCATCCATGGAACGTGAACCTCAATCCAATTTATTATTCAACCGGATTCAAGGACAGAGACCAGATCAATCATTAAATCTTAGTCAAACAACAGTCTTGGATAGACTAGAGAAAACGAGAAGTCAACTGATTAACGATCAACAATTACCCAATATTGATGTATCAAATCAATATTTAACACACCAAATACCAAATACGGGTTCACTATTTAAGTCAGATTCTCAACAAAGACAATATCTCGGACCACCTGATCTAGGTCTAGGCCTAGGTACAGAACAAGGTCCAGGTATACACCCAGGCCATGACTTTGGTCCACAAGCTAATCCATTTGATTCTAAACCATATTTTGTGGGTGACTATCCAAAATACTTTGAAAACAATCTACAATCACCATCACCACCACCACCATCACCACCACCATCACAACCAACACATCCATATTCATTTAATCTGGATTTTTATTCTGATCTTTCGAAAATGGGCTCAACTATTCCTGAACTTACGGATGTTCAGTCCGGACAAGGTAACCAGATAAATATTTACAACGACTTACCTCAGATGCAACAAGACATTGAAGGCTCTGGGCTTAATCGAATGGAAGCAACGAATTCAAGATCTATGACAACACGTACTCGAAGTCCCATTATTCAGTATTTCAAAACAATTAAAACAACAGAAAATATTGATGGTAATGATGCTTCAGATATACGAAGCGTTCAAACTCAATCAGTCCCACCTAAAGTCTATGGTACTATGTAATATAATATTTAAAAAAAATTCAAATGGTTAAACAATGACAATAGTTCATCCCATGTATTAAGTGATTATTGATAAACAACAATAAATTATTTTGGCAGTACGAATAATATAAAATAAAAACGCCAAGGAAAATTAAGGATTATACAAACCAATAAATAAACAGMTAATTATAACTTTCATATAGGTTGATATAGGCTCATATAGGTCTCATATAATGATTAAAATGTTATTGTTAATTTTGAATATTACTGTAGATTGGTTTTTATAATATAACATATTTATTTATTTATATAATTTTAAATAAATACATTAATTACTCGTAACATCTATTGTTTTATTAGTTTAATTAACGACGATAATAATGCATAAATGCAGAAGTATCCTACTTGTGTAATTATATTTTATATTTATCTACGGTATAGGTACACACTGAATTAAACATCGTCATATATGTTAGACGACTATTTTACCGCAAGGTAACTTGGATTTTACGAATCAATAGCCAATAATTACATACATATTTGTTATTAATTTATTATATTTTATTATTGTTTGAGCGGTTCAGTTTCGGCACATGATGAGGACATAGCTATAATGTGTGCCTAGATACATATTAGATGTATACGTCTTAATAATCATAATATACGCGTACTTGTAGACGGCGGCACGAAAACGGTTCGATTGAGTAACATCACTGATCAGTGGGGTAAAAAGTTATAGCGTGATTATATAAAAGTAGGTACTTATTTGAAGTTTGGAGTAAAAGTAAAATTCAACTAATATAATATGATTTGTGCGATGCGTTAAAATGGAAAATTATTATTCGGCATTTTTATCAGCTTAAAAGAAATTTAGAGGTATTATTTTGAGGTATACCAAATGCATTGGAACTTCTTCATACAGCATTGGAATTGGTTCTACAGATGTTCCGGGGCTATACTTTCGATTCGGGCATAGATGCATAATATAAAATATTGTTTTAATACATATTTTAATAATGTATTAAAATTTAAAACTATATGAAATTAATAAATGTATGTTAGTGGTATGTTACATAACGATTAATTTTTGTAGCCATTTATATTTTTATTATTCATAATTAATATTACATTTTACTATCTCCAGTAAAGTAAAAAATATTATATGATATTAGGTATTATCTATCTTCTAACATACTTTGTAAAATATTTTGAAACTACTATCGCCATAATATAATATCTGTTTAAATTTTGAGTAATTTCAATAATACTTAACAAACTTCTAAACTTAAAAGCATTGACTATGGATAACTTACTTATTTAATACAAATTTAATTCAAAATAAATATTAAAAGATTATAATTTGCAGTAAAATTTTTGATTCCAAGTGGAGTGAAAACGTATAAGTATGAGTAGTTTGAATAATATGTATTAGCAGATTGGATCTGGTTTTTATTCTGGGAGATTTTAAGATGTAAAATCTTGGCCAATTTTAAAACAATAGGTAAAAACAAATACATTACGAAAAACGAGAATATTATACGCAACACCAGTCGAGTGTATATCATTGAGTAAGTCACTTTAATGGATGAGAATTTAAATTGTGTGCATCATTTTATAATTTTATAATTTCTAAGACAATTCATTGAGCATATTAAATGTAAATAGTTTTGAGCAAAGATGGTCTAGATTTTTAGTAAAACAAAACCAGATCAGATGATTCAAATGATTATTTTGTTAATAATATTAAAATTCAAACAAATTTTAAGACATTCTGTTCTTATTACGGTTGTACGTCCAGTGGCTCAACAATGAACATCTAATATCCATCCTATATAAGGCACCACCATAGGCCGAGCTGACATCACGACAGAGCACTAGATCCACTAAAGATTTATGTTTGTATATAATATTTTTAACAGTTCTCATAGCTATTTTAAGAAGATGATGAGAACGGAAAATGAGTGAAAATATAATTTTTTTATTGAATCATATTTTTATATTGTTTTGAATCATATGCAATAACAGCAATCTATGCAGTTATAATAAATAATAATCATAAATAATTATAGGCTGTCTGCAAGACGTAATGAGACATTTAAATACGTCAATTAAAATAATAATATTATGACTGGAAGTAGAACACGTAATCGACACTTGTCATTATCCGGATAACTATGCCTAGTCGTTGCGGTATTAGGATTATTGGCTCAAATGATAAAAACAACTTTATTTTATGGGACTAAAAATAATAAAATACCGTTCTAATAGTGATAATATGCCATATCGTGAGTATGTTTGTATCCCCCCCCCCCGATTTTATATTCAAGTTTTGACAATATTCGATTTTAAAGTACCAACAAGATCAAATTTTTCGCTAAAGCACATCATTGTAAAATCAATACATACTTCGCTTCACTTGGAATTTAAAAATACTCAGTACCTACTCTACATCATAATCACGAAAGATTTAAAATAATTTTTTGAGAAAATGGAAATATTTACACAATACCAGTTTTTGACAAAATTTATATTTTTATAATTTAAAATTTAATAATTGTCGATGCTTAATACTTTAATAGACATTTTTGCCAAATATGACGTATACTAGGTGGTATCATATGAACATGGTTTAACAGAGAATATCAAATATATTGTCTGTTTTGTACTATTTATATATAAATAACAATTAGATTTTGTTTTATTCGTTAAATACAATTACTTACTTTGTTAAAATGTTTTAAAATGTTGTATAAGCTTATACATTTTCTATTTTCAATATATTTTTAAACTTCGAATATGCGCAATAATTTATACATTACTGTAAGTACTTTTCTTATTTTGTATTATTTTGATGATATTTTTCGTCGCAATAGCTTCATGTTTAGACACAATATATTATAATATTTACAAAATATTCTATGGTAAGGTAGTTATGTATATAATGTATCGTAAATATCATATATATTACCTGTATAGTATATATATATATATATATATATATATATATTATGTGTGCGTGTGTATGGGTACATATGAAGGTATTTGTATATGATACTCTGAAGTGAATGGTTCTACGTTTTTTTTCTCGGAAACGAACCCAATACAAATGTAAAGGGAGGCGTTTAGCTGAGAAAATTAATATTTGTCTTCGAGACGAATGTGCGACGAATAAATAACATCCAAACAGCAACTTCAGCTGTTACCAGGGTAACTCAACCACCGAATAAACACGGCAATAATAATTGGCAAACATATAGATGGGTYCAAAAATCCTGATCCAGCTATACATAATATCAATATATATCGTGTTTCCAAGATGTGTGGAAAACCGTATTTACTCGATTAGTCTGAGTTTTTACTTTTTTTTGAATCCATTTTAACAAAAAAATATTGACACAAATTTCAATATGCGCTGTGAGTACTTATGTCTTATATACTGCAGTATGGATATAGGATATAGCACAGGACAACACACAAATACGTGTTAATATGTTTTATGCTCTAAAAAATAATGTAGGTATGCATGAACAATATAATATAATATATATTGTGTGTGTGTGAAAGACACTATAAAAAAGGATTTATATACCAAATGGCAAACACATAGGTATATTACATTAATTTGTGTCTGAAAACATAAAATCCACTTGCGGTCTATACATATATAGCCATCCTGCAGGATGTTTTAACAATAATATGATTACGTTATACATATCCCAGACAGTCAATTTAAGATGAAATGGACATTGTATCATTACTTATTTTTCAAGTTGAACATGTTTATGTTCTACCAGCATTGTCTTCATATTGATTATTTAATGTTGGATTTTAAGTATGGGTTCAAAATTGTATATACATTGGTTTTCATTGGATTCTAAATATTAGATTTTTAATTACTATTCAATAATATTACAATAATAGTTGAATGTTGTTAGAGCAATATCGAATTCATAATTATACTGATTGAAAATAAAACATTGGATTTGTAATGGCTATTAAATAATATTATAATATTGAACATGCAACAATTATCAAACTTTGATAAAGTAATATTATAATAATATTGTGTTCGAATTTCTATATAGTGATTGGAAATCAAACATTATATTATAATTTCGATAATATTTTTTGGATACTATATATTATTGTATATAATACGTATATATAATATATAGGTAGGTAATATTATAATCAAATAATAATAATATGTAGGTATATTGTTTAATATATATGTATATAATATAGTTATAAAGATACGATTGTAAACGTATCGCGTATATATGTATATTACATTATTATAAAGATTCAATTTTTTTTAGTTTCTGAAAAATTACTAAACTACATAGGTACACCTACTTTTTTAATTTAACTTAAAAATATTAAAGTTAAGATAGTTTGAGCACTTCCATAGTACCATAACATATTCAGATATTCAGTTCATAAAACACAATCACTCGAATCACTTCACTACATAAAAAACTTATCATATATTTTTGTGCTCGCACTTTCAAATTCTGTGATGTGTATTTCACAATTTATTGATTAATGATCAAGCCTGCTTACCCGCATTGGTATTTTACATTAATAATTTATTTATTATAATAATTCTGATTTTGTAATTTTTAAATGTGCCAAAACCCATTTTTCAAATATTGTTGAATTTATTTTTTTAATTACTTAAATGAGTGTCATATGGTGATACAAACTTCTGTTTTTCAAATAAGAACCCTCCCCATGAACAGAGAATTATTACTATAAATTTGTATAGTGGATCTTTTTCTTTTTTTTTTTTTGAAATGTTGACAATGTTTAATTCAAAATTCGAACGTTTAAAATTGATAGATAGTTTACAGTAGAAAAACAGGGTTTTGAAAAACAGAAGTATGGAGTATGGACACATGTTACATGCGTTTATAATTTTAAGCATTAAATATTCTAAACTTGTTGGTAAACTTTTTTAAAACTAATCACATCATTTTGCACTTACTACAAAGTATCAAACTGCGGCTGGCTGACCTGTGGTGTAAGTAAAATACTAAAATATAATAATACCATAGTCTTATTACTTAAGAATATAGTGATCAACCACGCATGTTTTCGATTAAAATTCTTCTCATCGACATTAAAACAACTACTTGCCTGAGTAATTAAAATCTTATAACTGAGAGGATCTAGTGTATTTTTATCTATTATTAGGCATTAACGCGACTTACTGAGCGATTATTTATTAATATCTAACTATACTATAAGTTTATCTACTTAAA